GAATTGAATGTAAAATTGTATTCAAATCAAACGTTTATACATATTAATGCATCGTTATTTTGAAATTATTAATAGACCCCTAAACGGTGCAAGCTGAGAAATAGATTACAATTGAAAGTCTTTAGCGGGTGGAGTACCAAAGCTCCATTGCCTCCGAGTATTTGTAGTCGTCCTTACTGCGGATGACATTGATTTTTTTGCGGATGTTTTTATCGATTTGCTTTGCCAAAACTGTTGTGGTCATCGGTCTTTCCCCATGACGACGCCTGTTTCGTTCACCCCAAACACTATAGAGGACTGATTGGAATGCATAGCGGATTAGGAACAACCTGAATTTGGAGATTTGTCCATTGAGAAAAGTAATAATTTGGTCCCATGCTGTCGTAAAACCATTGCCAAGAAGCTTGTCCATTAGCTCTTTCCACAGCAAACCCGTGATCCTGCATCCAAAAAAGAGATGGTTTCGCGTCTCCTCTTCCCTATTGCAAAACATACACAGTGTGTTGACGCCCAAGTTCCAACATGCTTTTATAAACCGAAAAGGAAAATATAAAAATGAATTTTCGCTTTTGTTTTTGAAATTTTCACAAATCAAAGAAAAAAAGTTATATTTCTCTCTTGTGTACATTTATTCTTTCTTTCTATATGTTGCTGATTAATCTTTGATTGGTCTCTTTCTCTTGTCTTGCCCAAGGTAAAAGCTCATAAAAAAACAGAGCACCACAATGGCGTTATACTACATGGAGAAGGACGAGATTTTCTACTCCAAGGACGATCAGAGCCAAGAGGATGAAAAAAGCAGGACTCATACACTTTTGGAGGAGATTTTGGAGAAGAAGTCTATTCTGATTCGGACTTTGAAAAAGAACCAGGTTGTGAAGCACCTGAACCAGAACTGCCTGACTCATACAACACCAATAAAGGCTCCCCTAAACTATGGGTTGAATTAGAAGATAGTTTTTATCGCCATGATTCGAGAACTCCATTGAAGCAAGTTATGTCTTTTTCAGGAGAAGAGAATTACTTTACGTGGGAGGAAGACATGGAGGATTACTTCTGGGAATACAACATCCTCGAAGAAGAAAAGCTCTCTTATGTCATCAACACCCTAACCGGATAAGTTTATTCATGGTGGCTTTATAAAGTTTTTTAAAAGATTTTTTCAGACATTTTACAATAATTATAAGATTTTTAAAATCTTTATAAAAGGTTTTGTAAGAGAGTTTTAAAAATTTATAACGTAAATAAAACTGTAAACCCTAGCCCCAAAATCTATATCCTTAATGTAAAATAGTTAACCCAAACACAAAAAAAAAGTTAAAGCGTTTGTATATTTTATCAAATACG